GGAGCCTGCTTCTCCCTCTGCCTGAGTCTCTGCCTCTCTCTCTCTCTCTCTCATAAATAAATAAATAAATAAATAAATAAATAAATAAATAAATAAATAAATAAATCTTATAAATAAATAAATAAATATCAATAAGTTAATAAAATCTTAAAAAAAAAGAAAAACATTAATTAAGCTTTCTTGATTAATGGAAACACAAACCCAAGTCAACATCCCGAATTAACCACACTGCCAGTATAATAAGCATATCAGCCAGAATGAGCTTTTGGACCTATCCTTCAGTGAGAAATGTAGGGTAAAAGTGCAAGGTGACACAAGATATTAGGGCTCTGACATTCTCAAAAAACTGAAGTCAGGCCTGGGCATTCAGATCTGCCAGGATTATTCCTCATTATCCAATCCTTGAGACTCAGACAGGCTAGATAACTCACCCGAGGCAGTCAATGGAGATTGGATCATTATTAATGTGAGCATTGCCTTAAGAATTCCCTAAGGGGTTTTTTGCAGAACTATTGTCCTTTGAGGATGCCTCATATAAAAACATTTTGTGGTCAGCAATTTCTGGAAACCTGGCCTATTACATCTGCCCCTGAAAGACACAGTGTGTGTGGACCCATCCTGGGATGGGCCCCACAAAGCCCTGCCCTAATGAAACCTGGCTAACATTTAAATTCCAACATTACAGAAATCTGTTTGGTTGTGGAACTCTTTGTTTCTTAGAACATCTTTGGAACTACCAATTAAACTAGTGTTTGAGGGACACTCCTTGAAGGTGAGCATTTCATGGGGAGGAAATATCAGAAAGGGAGACAGAACATGAAGACTCCTAACTCTGGGAAACGAACTAGGAGTGGAAGGGGAAGGAGGGCAGGGGGTGGGGGTGAATAGGTGACCGGCACTGAGGGGGCACTTGACGGGATGAGCACTGGGTGTTATTCTGTATGTTGGCAAATTGAACACCAATACAAAATAAATTTATTATTTAAAAAAAAAAAAAGGTGAGCATTTCAGTGAGAGACAGAAGAACACATAGAGAAGGAGAAAGAAAAGATAGAAAGGAAGATGGTTGGAAGCAGGAATGTGGGAAGAGTGCAAACTGAAATAGTCATAATGCTTACCATAGTGTTTCTTATATACTAGTCCTAAGAACAATCTGTTCAATTGAAGTTACAAAGGGAAAAGGAGTTTTGATTATGTAAGATAAAACAGCAGGTCCGACATATTAGCAGGCCTGGGGCATTGTGTGCAGTGAGATCAGAGCACAGGATTACCTACACAGCATTTCTCCTCACTTCTAGGAAGGAGAAAGGCCATGGTGTGTTGAAGTGAACCAGATCACCTAAGCAGAGGGAGAAAGATGGAAGAGAGTACCTACCCTTCACTTGGACTTTAGAGCTCCAACTTTTTTAAACTGTTCTGGACTTTAATTTTCTTTTCTTTTCTTTTCTTTTTTTTATTTTAAAAGCAACAAAAGATAGAAGAAAGGCCAGAAAAGAATACTGAAACTCCCATTCCATGCAACACCACAGCATACAATATCTTTTTTTCTTTGTTTTTAAACTCAGAGGGAAGATTGATTTCTTTCAAGAATCTTCCAAAAAACAAGGAGGAGAAAAGTTCCAGCACAGAAGAAATGTGGACACTCTTCAGCCACATCTGTAGACAGAGCCATATGATATGTTATTTTAAAAATACTTTCCTTTTTGCTTTAGCCCTTTGGGGTTTCTAGAATCTTTATAAGGAATCTCAGGATGGTAGGGGTTTGTTCTGGGGAATATTCTCAATCACCAATGGCCTATAACCTACCCTAAACACTTCACAATAACCTAAATTTCAGCTCAGGAAGTCTGTGGGAATATTACTCATGAGCATATATTACTGTTTGCAAAGATTGTAAAGTAGGAAATGGTTTGTATTTGAGGCTATAAGTTTTTTACTTCTTTGAATCATTTTATGGGCAGAGAGGGAGGTTGCTAAGAAGGTTCTAACATTGAAATATTAATTGGGGCTGAGGGCACACAAAGAAAAATGATCCGCAGCATCAAGAAAGGCCCATCTGTCAAGCCAGTGGGCTTTGAGTTTGAAGGGAGGGAGACTGGCCCCAAGGGGACTTGGGGAGGACGGGACACTGTCTGAGGTGAGTGGGGAAACTTAAGCTTCCTATTATTAATGAGAGCTGGGAACTGGGAGCAAGTCAGGCCAAGAGGAGCAGCTTCACAGGTAGCTTTCCTGAATGTCTTGCAAAGGGTACCAAGGGGCCCTTAATCTCTGGTAACTTCTAAATTCGCACTTTAGATCCCACAGAGTCTGGCTGTATTTCATTCCTGTGAAATCTCTGATCATTATAATAAATCTAGCTATACTTCCCTTTCTTTGAGCTAGCTGGAGGAGCTCTCTTTTTCTTCTTCCCAGAAAAAAGATCCCCAGTACTCAGGAGACTCGAAATAAATGGAGCATTTCAGTACAATGTGATACACTCAATCCTCCCGCAGGTGTCTTTTTATGCTCTTGGACAGTTTTTTGTCTATTTTATGAAAACTAAGCATAAAGCAAAACAAGAAGTAAAATTAAAAACTAGCTCTAGGGGCAGCCTGGGTGGCTCAGGGGTTTAGCGCCGCCTTTGGCCCAGAGTGTGATCCTGGGGATCTAGGATCAAGTCCCACACTGGGCTCCTTGCAGGGAGCCTGCTTCTCCCTCTGCCTGTGTCTCTGCCTCTCTCTGTGTCTTCCATGAATAAATAAATAAAAATCTTTAAAAAAAAAAGTTCTAAATATACAGTCATTGTGAAGAATAATAAAACATTTTCAGAACAATTGGGGCCTATAAAGGTCCCAAGGTGACAACGCAATTAGATTTTTTAACATTTATTTCTAGATTTCGAGAAGGAAGAAGAAATCTACAATGTCCAAGTACATGGTATGTGTAGCAAAGAGAAGATATACTAAAATTGCTCATTTTATTGGCATGTTAAAAATGGTAAGTGATTACATAAATTGTGTGCCTATTCAGAGTAGTAACAGTATGGCAATTTTAAGTGAGCAATTTCTAGAAGGGTGAAAAAATACTCTTTGCCAAATATTCTACTATAATACAGCATGGAAGTATTTTATGTAAAATATTTTGAATGATTAAGAGGGGGAAATGACTTTCAAAATAAAATAAAATTCTTTTTCAATATACTTTATTTCAGTTTAAACTATGCCTTCTTTAAGAATATCATATTTTTGTGCAGCCCAGGTGGCCCAGTGGTTTAGCACTGCCTTCGGCCCAGGGCCTGACCCTGGAGACCCGGGATTGAGTCCCAACATCAGGCTCCCTGCATGGAGCCTGCTTCTCCCTCTGCTGTGTCTCTGCCTCTCTCTCTCTCTCTCTCTCTCTCTCTGTCTCTCATGAATAAATAAATCTTAAAAAAAAGAAAAGAATATCATATTTTTGGGACACCTGGGTGGCTCAGTGGTTGAGCATTTGCCTTCAGCTCAGGTCTTAATCCCAGAGTCCCAGGATCAGGCTCCCCGCAGGGAGCCTGCTTCTCCCTCTGCCTATGTCTCTACCTCTTTCTCTGTGTCTTTCATGAATAAATAAAATAAAAAATCTTTAAAAAAAAAACAAATATTTTTAGGATGGAAAATTAAAATTGAGACATGTGAATACATCTTATGCTTGATCTAGTTGTTACCAGCCAATAACCATCAACTCATTCCTACTTCAGTGGAAGTTTCAAAATCACAGATATTTAGAAACATGCTGTTTCCATAGCAGCAATTAAAAAGTAAAACTAAGAAGATTTTATTGATTTTAACAAGGCTTAGAAAATTTATTCATCTTTTTAGCAGTGATTTTTTGCTCTTTTTTTAGTCTTTAGCAACATCTCATATTCTCTTTTCTAGATATATTTAGTAAATCATAAATTTTGAAAGTAGGTTAATTGTGACATTACTATAAAATTACACATTCTTTTTTTTAAATTACACATTCTTATAGTAATATAGAATAACCAATATTTAATCCTCTTTTTAAATATTTATTTATTTATTTTAGAGGGAGAGAGAGCACACACGTGCATGCATAAGCACGTGCAGGTGTGCAGAGGGAGGGTCAGAGGAAGATGGAGACAGAGAATCTTAAGCTGGTGCCACGCCCAGCACGGAGCCCACAAGACTTGATCCGCATAACCCTGAGATCATGATGACCTGAGCCCAAATCAAGAGTCAGATGGTTAACCAACTGAGCCACCATATTTAATTCTTTAAAAAAAAATATTTATTTATTCATGAGAGACACAGAAAAAGGCAGAGACACAGACAGAGGGAAAAGCAGGCTCCCTGTAGGGAGCCTGTTGTGGGACTTGATCCTGAGACTCTGGGATCACACCCTGAGCTGAAAGCAGACACTTAACCTCTGAGCCACCAAGGCGTCCCTCCAGTACTTAATTCTTAATGTAAAGAGAACTATAGATTCAAGATCAGGCATCAAACACTCTAAGTACATGTAATGTCAGCTTAACATATGCATAAAATACAATGTATGACAAATACTTGTAGGTAATTCATTAATAATTTAAAAAGCATGGTATAACATTTGCTGTTGCTATTAATTTATTAAGATGCAGACACTGGAATCAGGCTTTTATTTTTTTTTTAAAGATTTTATTTATTTATTCATGAGAGACACAGAGAGAGAGAGACCTAGGCAGAGGGAGAAGCAGGATCATGCCTTGAGCCAAAGGCAGACGCTCAACCGATGAGCCACCCAGGTGTCCCAGAAATCAGGCTTTTAAACACAAATACTACAGTTACAAAATGCAAGTTTCTTCATGGTAACGTGGCGACATGATGGTAGATAAGTGAAATCAGCAGTGTAATTGTTCCAAGATAAAATGCTAAGAAAATAGGAAGTAGACTTTCTTCTTTTATTCATGTGTTGTTCAAGTTGTATGTTTTTTGCCAACTATCCTGACCTCTAACAATTTCTGCTTGTCAAAACACAGAGAAATGGCTCACCTGTAACAGACATACAGCCTAATGGAGCGATGAGAGTAATAGGAGCAAATCCATAGGCTGCAAAGTTGCCTGTCTCCCCCATGGCCATGAGCACGGTCCCAGCCCACCACAACACGCTCTTGAAGTAGGGCCTGGGATGTTCCTGGTGTGCCAACTGGACGTGAGAATATTTCTGGAAGTAAATCAGAAGGCAAATAAGGAAATATCTCTCCCAACTCGAACTTGCCTTGAAAATTTTTGGTCCTGTGTATTTGCATCATGGCTTTGAAATTTGCAGATTATTACAGAGCGCTTATTATGGTTTTCTGCTTGTTCCAAGCATATCAGCTGGGGAAGCGACTGTCATTAACAGAGAATTTTGTAGCAGAAGGGCCTTCCTTACATAAGAATGCTTAGTTCCTGTAGCTACAAAATTAGTATCAGTAACTATTCTCCAAAGGTGAGGAGTATGTTAAGGAGCATAGTGTCTTTTCAGTCTCCCACACCAATACCTTCTTTCAGAATGTTGAAAAAGTCCAGCCAAAATAAACACTAATGAAATAAAATAAGTTACTAAAGAAAACCACTTTGAAAAGGGACTTCAATGTGTGAGTCAAAGTAGCTACCACGATAAACATACTGGGGCAGAATACTTTGCTAGTAGGGACCTGGGGTGATACATACTTGTTTATATCTGGTCAGAGTATTTCTTTGTATTTGAGGCACATACATTCCTGGAAAATTGGCCATTAAATAAAGCCCTGTTTCCTTATTAATTTTATGATGCCTGAACCTACTTTCTATTAAGAAGTATGTACAATTCTAGATGACATTTAAAAACTTAAAAAATAATAATAAAAGTACTAGAAGAAACACAGAACATTAAAAATAAATCTTGGTTTATGCTAAGATTATGAACATCTTTGGTACAAATTTGTGGTACGAATTCAAGCCACCAAGGCACTTTGCCTCAGACATGTAATATGATTAAGAGGCCATGAAAACATTTAATTTCTTTTAAAATCAGAAGAAGAAAGAAGTGAAAGCAATCTAGCCTATATTTGTCTTTACAACAATGAGGCCATAAAGTATAACTGTACTTTTGTGTGTGTGTGTGGAGGAAGGATCTTGAGAAGTGCCTGAGGGCCCTTTAAAGTCATACTCTGTTCCTAGATCAAACTACAGAGTTAGAAAAATAAGCTCCTTCTTACCTGAATATTTAGGGAAATACTCATTACCAAATTTCCTAAAATGGCTAGCAAAACTCCAGAAAGGTGAATCTGTAAAAGAAAATGTTTTCTTTTTAAAATAGCATTTGTACGATACTTACTAAAAAAACAACAACAACAACAACAACAACAAAATTTAAGTTGATTCATTTGTTTGCTCATTCATCAAATATTTTCTTAAGCACCCATTTGTCGGGGTCATTTGGATTTTGAATAGTGGTTTTATTAGGATTTGTTTTTTTACACTTGTAGTCATATATTTTTTTTAGAACAAGCTCAACCCTTTACTGAATTCTCTAACTATCTGCCTCATTTGCTAAAATAAAGAAAATAGTTACCATTAAGGTAACTTTTCTCATTAAGGTGCTTTCTTATTTATCCTTTCCGTCCCTCTTCCTCAGCAATCCTTCTCATTGTGTTCATTGCCTTAAGTGTGGACTGTACAATTATTGCCCATCTTCTCTCCCTTGCTCCTATCTCTTAGTATATTCTGGAGGACTGTGGCATGAAAGAAAGATCACTGGCCTTCGAGTTAAAGCATGAATCTGGGATTTGGATCTGCTATTTTTTAAGGGGTGACTCGGAGCAAGTTATTTCAACTCCCTGGGCTCAGTAAACAAGATAATGTTGAATAAGATGTTTCCAAAATCCATTTACTTGTCAAGTTTTATGATCTCCATTGGAGACAGACTACATTTTCCCATCACTCCTCTGATCAAGAACCCACAGCGCTTCTCTCCAGTCAGCTACATCAAATATAAAACTACCACACCAGTTCCCCATAATCTGTCTTCATCCTGACCATACAACTGGCCACAGTATATTTAATGTATCCTCTACCTCAGGCACCTGGTGCAAGACATTCTCCAGCTGGTCACACTTTTGCTCACGTCTCTCCTCTCTTCTAGAGAGTGGTGCCCCATCTTAGCCCATTCGGGTCATACTTCATCCTCCCAGCCTGCTCAGGTCTCCCTCCTTGAAACCCATTCAGACCACCACAGCCCATCCTTACTTTCTCAGACTCTAAATGGTAATGCTTTTATTCTTTTATACTGGCACATGCATCATTATGTTCTAAGCAAATAGTCCAAGGGCTTCTACTGGATTTTCTACATCATCTGTCACGTTCATCCACTGTCATGTGCATCATTACATTCTATGAATAGATGGCAAATTGCCTGAGGGCTTCTACTGGATCTTCTACATATTTACTTTGCAAAATTAGGGGCTCTTGAAAAAGTATATAGTGGCTTAAAACAAGAACTAAAAAGAGGTTTAAAAATAAGTTCTTACACATTGCCCAAGATTTTTACTATAGATAGCGTTTACTATGGATAGTTTACTATAGATCCAGCCCAAGGTCAAAACATTCATTTGCTGCTCAAATGGCACAAAGGTGTCATAACTTGTAGCAGAATAAATTAGCAATGACATCAGGGATCTTCTCCCCTTCTTCTTCTACAGTACATAACTTCTAGCTAGCTTCAAATTCCAAGGAGTGATTTGAATTTCAAATGAATATTATAACCACAAGGAACCCTTTTTGGAATGCAAAATGTCTTTGAAGTTTTAGAACTTTATTATATATGCTGAAGTGAAATTCATTGTTTTTTAAAAATAAAGCAGAAAAGTTGAAAACCCATTAAATAGTTGATATATAACATCCATAGTCTTTAATCAGTTAAAAATTTTCTTTTCCTAATAAAGGCACTTGGCAATAATTTTGATCACTATTCCTCATGAGGAAAAACTGTATCATAATAAAGTGCTATTTCCATGCTTTCAATTTATAATTGAATGCATTTGGCAGTAATCAGGAAAATAAAGGTTCAGAAGAAGCTTGGGATTGAATGGATGATTATGAAATCTTCCATAATTATAACAGTGAATTGTAGAATAGAAATAACTTATTTCAGTTCTTTAAGTCATTCACTGAGTAGTTTAAATGCCACCAGGCTGAGAGTTTAGAAATTGACAATGATTTCTCAGATATGACACCAAAAGCACACACAACAAAAGAAAGAACAGATAAGCTGGACTCCATCAAGATTAAAATCTTTTGTGTAACAAAGGACACTATTAATGGAGTGAAAAGGCAATCTACTCAATAGGAATAAATAACTGCAAATCAAATGTCTCATAAAGATTGACATCCAGCTTATATAAAGAATTCCTACAATTCAACAACAAATTAACAACCCAACTAAAAATAGGCAAAGGATTTGTATAGACATTTCTCCAAAGAAGATATACAAATGGCCAATAGGCACATGAAAAGATGTTCAACAGCACTAGTCACTAAGGAAATGCAAATCGAAATCACAATGAGCTACTACTTCACACTCATTAGAATGGCTACAATTAAAAACAACAACAACAACAGAAGATATCAAGTGTTGGAAAGGATGTGGAGAAATTGAAACTCTTGTGTACTGTTGAAGAGCATGTAAAATGGTATAACTGCTGATCATATACCATATATAAGAATTAACTCAAAGGCCTAAGAGCTAAAACTATGAAATGCTCAGAAGAAAACATAGAGATAAATCTTCATAATCTTGGATTTGGCCACAGATTCTTATAGGTAAGACATCAAGGCATAAGCAACAACAACAAAGATAATCAAACCTTATCACTATTAAAAATGTTTGTGTTTCAAAGGACACTATCAAGACAGTGAAAAGAACCCATAAAATGGTAGAAAATAATTGGAAATCATACATCTGAAAAGGGACTTGTATCTAGAATATATAAAGAACTCTTACAACTCAATAACAAAAAGACAATCCAATTAAAATTGGGCAAAGGATCAGAATAGACACTTCTCCAAAGAAGACAAATGGCTAATAATAATAAGCACATGAAAAGATGTTCAACATCATTAGTCATCAGGTAATGCAAATAGAAAGTACTGTGATAAACCACTTCACACAAATTAAGATGGCTATAATAGAAAAGTCAGAAAATACCAAGTGTTAGCAAGGACGTAGAGAAATCAGAAGCCTCATACAAGCTGATGGAAATGTAAAACGGTGCAACCACTTTGGAAAACAGTCTGGCAGTTCCTCAAAAACGTAGGCATCGAATTTCCATTTGACTCAGCAACTCCATGCGTAGGTATACATCCAAGAAAAATGAAAACATACATCTACACAAACACTTGTACACAAATGTCTATAGCAGTATTATTCATAATACAACCAAAAGTGATAATGACTCAAATGTTTATCAACTAATGAATAAACAAAACATAGTATGTTCATACAATGGAATATTATTTATCCAATAAAGAGGAATGAAACAGATATATGCTACAACCTGGGTGAGCCTAGAAAAATGTATGCTATGTAAAAGAATCTAGTCATAGATGACTACATGTTATATGATTCCTTTTATATGTAAGGTCCCCACTAGGCAAATCTATAAATAGAGAAAGCAGATTAGTGGTGGCTTAGTCCAGGTAAAGACGCAGAGTTTAGGAATGACAGCCAAAGGGTGGATTGTTTCTTTTTGAGGTGATGAAAATATCCTAAAGTTGATTGTGATGGTCTCATAACTCTGAATATACTAGAAATCAGCCAATTGTACACTTTAAAATGAGTGAACTGTATGCTATGTGAATTACATTTCTACAAAGTTGTTAGAAACAATAATTTTTATTTTTATGTTTAAAAGATTTTATTTATTTGAGAGAGAGAGAGAGAGAGAGGGCACAAGCAGGGGAAGCAGCAAGCAGAGGGAGAGGGAGAAGCTCCCTAGAGCAAGGAGCCTGATGTGGGGCTTGACCTCAGGACCCTGGGATCATGACCTGAGCTCAAAGCAGACACTTACCCCCACTGAGCCACCCAGGTACCCCCCACAATCAATAATTTTAATACACAAAGTATTTACATCTCTTTTTCTGACCCAAAAAAATAAAATGCTACCAATGAAGTTAGCCTTCTTATAATCTCTTCTCTCTTCCAGAGATAACTTTTTAAAAAATATTTATTTATTTATTCATGAGAGACACAGAGAGAAAGGCAGAGGCATAGGCATAGGAAGAAGTAGGCTCCATGTAGGAGCCTGATGCAGACTCGATCCCAAATCCCGGGATCATGACCTGAGCTGAAGGCAGCCGCCCAACCGCTGAGCCACCCAGGCACCCCAGGAAACTCTTTTTCTGAAGTTGATATAAACTTCTTTCCTTCCTAGATTTGCCTTTATTATATTTTAGTGAATTTTTTCATCTTCTTCATTTAGATGCTTAACTCATTAGCTTTTCCTTTCTTCCTAATAATATATACAAGTGCAGCTATACATACTCCCTTAAGTTCACCCCGTTTTAGCTCCATACATACTTTTAGTTCTATACATGTAGTTTTCATTGGCATTTAGTTCTAAATATCTCCTAATTATTTTATTATTTTTATCTGAACCTTCTATTATTTAGAGGTCTGTTTTTTAATATTTTAATAATGGAGGTGTTGTTTACTGTTTTGTTACCAATTTCTAATTTTATTGAGTTGTGGGCAGAAAATATGCTGTGTACAAATTAACACTTGCTTTTTGATCTACTATATGGTATAAACTGAAATTTGTTTTGTGACCTAATAGTGTATGGTCAAGTTTTATAAGTATTCCATGTATGTTTGAAAGAGTATTTAATTGTTCGGTTAATACACTTTATATATATTTTGCTATCTATCCATCCATCTACCTAACTCCATTAATTCATTGGTCAAATCTTTGATACGCTTAATAAATTTTGGACTTTTTTGTCTATCAATTATCAATGTAGGTATATTAAAAATCTAACTATGAACATGGATTTATCTATTTTCCTTTTAAATATACTGAATTTTGCTTTAAAATATGTAAAGTGCTATAGTATTAGGAATGTAAAAATTCAGGATTGTTTTACCCTCTCAGTTAATTGTTCTTTCTATCATCATATATTGGTTCTTTTAATCACCATATGTTCTCACTTTAAACTTTAACTGCTTTCTTTTAAAATTTTTTATTTATTCATGAGAGACAGAGAAAAGCAGAGACATAGGTAGGGGGAGAAG